TCTAACGACTCCTGCACTTTGTAAATTCAAGATGACATTGTTACTGTTCGAATTTTTTAAAATTACAGCACTCTCACTTTTTCTCCAAAAAAGGTATAAATATGAAGACAGTTTGACTTGTTTACCTAAAGCTCTCCTTTGAGATGCCAAAGGGAATTAGTTACTTGAACACAGACGCAGAAATATGGTTGATAGCAAAATAAGATATGCTGAGCTCAGGAGTTTAATTTTTTTTTCTTCAGTAACATTTCAGAAAAATGCCAGTAATTGGGACATTATTTATCAACAGGGATTCAGAATACTCTTTTGCGGTTGATTTTGGAAATCCATATGAACCTTGCAGAGTGGTATAACCAAGGTGAGAAAGGCTAGAAACATATGTAGAATTACAGTTACCAAAGGGATAAGAGTTCACTGTGAATATTTAACACACACTGGCATTTGGCCACCAAACTCTGGGGCTTCCTTCGAAGTTCCTGACATGCCCATTTATAAAGGAGGTTAATAATCGCTTTGTACTTACACCCCTACACTTACAGCTAAATAACAATTTTTATGATATGCCTTTATTTTTCTGCAACTTGGAATGTAAGGCAGCAATTTTATCTACGATGTCTAAGCCCAGAATTTATTTTTGGCCTTTTCATAAGAAAGTTGTACCCATTTAACTTTGCCTGGCAATATAAGAGAAAAACGTTTTTAAAAGTACAGATTTTAATTAGCTAGGCAATTTGCCTTTCTCTGAACCATCAAACCCTGGCCATTGCCAAAGGCAGGAAGCCAGACTAAGCGGAACCATGGTAAGATACAGGGAGGCAATGTCAAGGGCTTGCAGTGAGCAGCAGTTGCCAATAGCTTAGGTTAGTAATATGCATATTATTTTAATATCCTATTAGCACTTGGCTTTGAAATGAAAATTGGATGGTTAAAGATAAAGATATATGGGCAGCAGTTTTTAGAGCATAGAGGTAAGGTGTATTTTTTACCGCTTGCTTTGAGAAGCACCCTGATGCCCAGATGTTGACCTTTAAGCTACCTCTCCTAGCTCTGGGGTTTCCTGGCATTTCCTGGGCAGACCTGTCTCCCAGCATCCCCTGTGCTCTGGATAGAGCTGAGCTCCAGCTTTTGAAGCCTCTGATCAGGGTTGGATGGATGGCAATCAAACACTGCTGCAAGAGAAAACCTGCTGGCTGGCAGCCCTAATTCAAAGCTTGTTTTAACTTCCTAAGGCCACCTTTCTATGAGACCTCAGAGAAGGGTTTTACTACCCCAGGGGGTTAGGATGTGATTTTTCAGGAAAAAGTGACTCTTGCAACTTCCGTCTGGGTAACTTACCTTTCTTTGCCTATGTGGTAAGAGGATCCCTTTGCAGGAAATGCCTTCATATCAACCCTCCATTGCCCAATTTGTCTGTCCAAGGGTTACCCTGGAGTTAGTGGTGAAACTTCAGGTTCAATCATTTTCTAAAGGACTCATGAATGCATTTTGTTTGGAGCTTTACAAATCTCTAGAAATTTAGTAAATGGCTTAAGAACTGCCCCTAAGCTCAAGTTGTTTAATTTTAAAATCTTGTTTTCTTTTATTTATGTGCAAGTGAAACCATGAAATAGTGATTTTGACTGGCTAAAGGGCTTAAGACCCTGAGGATATTGTGAAGCCATTATCCATAAGAAGCAGAGGGCAAGATCCTGTGTCTACCAACATCCAGATAAATGTCCTTGAATGCATAGGCTTTGGTAACATTGAGGAATTGTCTTTGTCCTTATCATAACTTAGTCATTTAATTTATTTTTTTATCATTTTCTTGGCAGTTAATAGCCTCTGATTTGAATTTTTATTTTTTCTTGTACCACAATTGTTCTGCCTCCCTGATTAGATTATAAGCACCAGTAGACAAGTCATCTTAGCCTTCTTGGCAAGCCTTATAACACCAAAATCAGCTTCCTAAATGAAGAGCTAGGTATTCAGCCACTCAAAAATGTTTTTCCCAACATCGCATTAGCCTCACTGATACATCTTCCTTTAAATGGAAATTCTCAAAGGGAGAGTTGGTCCCTATAATCACTCTTTAATGTGAATTACTTCAGTCAGATAATCAGATGCTCCAAAAAATAGAAGTAAAGAAAATAGAAGTAATTTTCGAACTTATGGAACTCTGCGAGAGGTTGACCGACTTACTAGGGAAGAACTTTGGGGCAACCAGGAGTGAGTGTGTGTGTGTGTGTGTGTCTGTGTGTGTGTGTGTGTAAATCCAGGAGAAGGAAGGGTTGGAAAGAAAATTCTCACAATTCTGTAACTTTGTGGCTAGAAATAGATGTAGACTTATGTCTCTAGGGATGAATGGATGATTTGGAGCAAGAGAGGGCTAGTCACTTGCTTTTGTATGGCATACAGACAAAGGGTAGTTTTCACATTTCTAAATAATTAGAAAAAGTCCAAAGAAGAAGACTGATTTATGACATGAAAATTATATGAGAATCACATTTCAGTGTCTATAAATAAAATTTTATTGAAACATGGCCATGCTGATTCATTTATGGATTGTCCATGGCTGCTTTTGTGCTATGGTGGCAGAGTTGAGTAGTTTGGACAGAGACCATATGGCCCACAAAGCCTAAAATATTTAGTACCTGCCTCTATCAGTCAACTAATGATTTAGAGTAAAGTTGTTTTGTTTCTTTTTCGCTTTCATACTTTTGGGCAAAGAGTTTTTAACACTCATAAATTGAGCAAACAATATTTCTTCCCTTTCATAAAATATTAGAATGTACAGATACAGTTATAGAGATGTCTATCCCAATATTATTAACATTCATAAAAAGAAACAAAACTTCATGCTAACCATGTGGTACTGGTTAAATTATGGCATAGTTATACAAGTGATTGCTGTGGAATCATTTATTGGTGCTGTGGTCCAAGTATTTGCATTGCCCCAAAATTCATGTGTTGAAATCCTAACTCCAAAGGTATTAGGAGATGGGGTTTTTAGGAAGTGATTAAGTCATGAAGGCTGAGCCATCATGAATGAGATTAGTGCCCTTATAAAAAAGACTCCAGCTAGCTCTTCCACTGCATGTGGACACAACGAGAAGCTACCATGTATGAACCAAAACTCCAGCCCTCACCAGACACTGGATCTGCCAGCACCCTGATCTTGAACTTCCCAGTGCCCAGAATGACAAGAAATCCATTTCTGTGGTTTATAAGCCACATAGTTTATGACACTTTGTTATAACTGCCTGAATGGACTAAGACAAATGGCATAAAAGCTATGTTTCTACTTTTAACTCTTTATACAACATGAACCCATAAAAATGTTTCAATTAAAAATATTGCCAAAGAGCCATACCAACATTCAGATATGTTGTATCCGAGTGGTGGATTGCAAGTGATTTTTTTCTTCTTTCTGCTTCTCTGTATTTCTAAATGTTTTTCAGTGAACAAATACTATTTTTATAAAAAGGAAAAATACATAATGAAAACCTTTTTTCCTTTGATACTAGAGATGGTTAGACAAAATAGAACAAAATTATAATGTGTTAGACATTTTTCTATAATAATGTATCTATAATACGTTAGATATTCTTCCCTAGGGCAAAAATATTCACCTTGGAGACAGTGGAGCAAGGGCCTTGACATTGAACTGCTTACTGTGGTTCAGAAACCAAGTCAGGCAGTCACTAGTTACTTTATCTGGACTGAAGTGCTTACTGTCTCTGAGCCTTGGTTTTCCAAGTTCTCAAATGAGGAAAATAACATTCTCTTAGGGCTTCTTCACGCATTAAATAAATTCATACATAGAAAACAACTAACTCACATGGTGACAGGCACATAAGCACTAAACAGATAATTAATTTTCAACATATTTTATGTAGAATATTTGCCATAAGATGCGCTGCCTTCCATGGTAATTTCTTGTGACATACACACACACACACACACACACACACACACACACACACAGTCCCTAAGATGAAATGCTTGGAGTGAGGAGCCAGGGGAAGGTGAGAGAGTATCAGAGCAGTGAGGAGACTGATGCCAACTATCCTGAGCACAGTGGAAAATGGAGCGGTTTAGAAGAGGCACTGGCTTCGTCATTTGGTCAGGAAGCTTCCATTATTACTCAAAGTAGTGAGAGACCCGCTAGATTGCTGACCAGGGGCAGAATGTCCGTATGTGTGTGATGGTGCAGATCTGACAGTAAAATTTTTCCAACAGTTTACAGTATAGTTCAACAGTTTTGAGCATCCACTGTGTGAAAAGCACCAGGGATTCCAAGATGTGTAAGATAGAGAACACTCCAGAGTGAGCTCTGGCCTTGTAGTGGGTTTGAAGGAATTGCTTTGGGGTAAGGCATTGAGCAATCACTTGGAATGCTACTTACATGAACTGGAAAGTGTGCTTTCCAGATATTATTAGTAATAGTTATAGTAGTATGCTTTCGAGATTGTTATTTGAAGGAATTAAGAGAAAGAGGAAAAATTATTACTAAAATATTATTAAAGTAATCATGTGTTAAGAAAATTACTGTATATAATTGGGCCAGAAATAAAAAGAATTACTAAAGATAAGTTGGGGGAAATAGATGCTAGGAGCTTAAGAGAATGGGAAGAGGTGAAGAGAACATTCTATGGCCCATTGTATTTCTTCCAACAGACACAAAGGAGCATCCCTTGGGTAGGACAACGTCAACTGGAAACTCTGAAGTGTACCATGTTCTTTTCATCCTTTTTGTCTGTCTTCTTGTCCGGGGAATACTAACAACTTCAAGAGTTGATTTTCCACCTTTATGCTCTTCCAGGCCCTCTCCAAATATATATATATATATATATGGCTGTGTCTGTGCGGGTGTTTCCAGAGATTAGCATGTGGGTCTCAGTGGAGTAGGGGAAGACCCACCCTCAGTGTGGGTGGGCACCATTCAGTCTACTGGGGATCAGACAGAACAAAAACAGAAAACTGGCTCATGCAATTATGTATATATGTGTATATATATATATGTAAATTTAAGAATGCTCATGAATTTGCATGTCATCTTTGCTTAGAGCACATGCTAATCTCTGTATCATTTCAATTTTAGTATATGTGCTACCAAAGTGAGCACTGCTTACTCTTAACACTGGCAAGTGAATATATTCTAGTCCTGAGATCATATCCTTGAAGTGTAATGGCCTATATGAACTGTGGTCTCAAGATACATGATGGGTAAAACAAAACAAACCAGCCAAAACCACAGCCTTGCTTCATGAAGTTCCCTGTATCTCCACCCCTGCCTGGACACCCATCTAATTTGTTACATAGTCATTATTTTTTCTATGCTATTTACTTCTCTGTGGGTTGCTTTACATATATTTGTACTACATTATTTATTCCAATTTTAGGATAGGTTTACATAGGCCGGCTTTTGCTACATCAAATAAGGGAAAGAAATCATACTTTCTTAGTATGCCCATACCTGAAGTATTTGGAGTCTCTATAATTATGTTGCTTATGTCTTAACCCAAAATATATGTTCTACTTGAATGTCCCTCGTGAAAATGCTGAGAGAGAATATTTGTCTTAAAAGGCACTTCAGGGAGGTGTCATGCCCCCATCTGCAGAAATAGCGCCCAACAGATCAAGACTATAAGATTAACTTTCTACTGGATCTGGAATATGGCTCTTTCTATCATTGGAAATGGTATGTGGACCTTGCAAAGTGTGGTAACAGGATGCAGGCTATACATTTTGAGACCTGTTGAAAGGGAAGGCAACTAGAGTCACAAAACATCACTTTATTCATCTGTAAAGGGAATTCAAATAGTCAGATCAGAGAGAGCTAGACCCCTGGTCAAACTTCTGTCCTTCCTACTACTGAGGCTAGATACGCTGAGCCCACTCCATGCTGTTGGCTTCAGAGGGTCAGAGAAATTGGTGTCTTAATTGGAAATTGATAATGCAGCCAGAAGTAAGATGGATTAGTTTCCAGAGGTTAGAAAAAGTGTGTTCTCTCCAGGGTAGGATAAGGATTATCCTCTGCCACATCCTTGCATCACAGTGATATACCTAAAAGTTCTAGGAGGGTAGGGGTAGTCAAGAATGTGACATCAAGTCTTCAAGCACTTGGTAGCATCTCCTTGGGCTTCTGGCATGGGGAAAGAATTATCCATTCCACACAAATACACTCATACTCACAAACTCACACACAGCCAGTAATACCCATGGACAAACATTCAAAAATACGCATGCACAACCATACATACAACAAGCACACATATAAACATATATACACAGTCATACATACAAATACGCACATGCACACACATATAAGCACATATACATGAGACGCATGCACCACCTCACACACAAATGAATGTATGCACATGCCAGCTGGGCACTCTGCAGGCCCTTTCCAAGAAACAATCTCTAGCCCCCAGCCCTCTCCCATCACCTCTGTCCTAATGATGCTCTGACCCTGGGATGATACCTAGGTGACCCTGGCTCTTCTGGGCTCAGTCCATGAATTATTTCTATCCCAATAACTCTAGGATTGAGTGTCTGAAATGAATACTCTAAAGAGTGGAGACAGCATGTATTAGAGTCCTCCAGAGGGACAGAACCAATAGGCTAAACATAGGGAGAGACAGGAAAGGGGATTTATTTGGGGAATTGGCTCACACGATTATGGAGGCTGCAAAGTCCATGACATGCCATATGCAAGCTGGAGACTCTGCAATGTCCAACAATGCTGACCTAGCATGACTCAGCCCAAGTCCTAAGACCTCAACCAGGGAAGCCAAAGGTGCTCACTCTGAGGCCAATGGCTTGAGAACCTGAGGTGGGGAGGGGGCTGGCTTAAGTTCTCTAGTCCAAAGGCCAGCAAGCCTGGAATTGTTGTCAAAGGACAGGAGAGGAAGGATGTATCCCGGCTCCATCAAACAGGCCTGCACATTCTTTTCTGTTTTTGTTCTGTCCAGCCCCCAGTAGATTGAATGGTGTCCACCTACACTTAGGGTGGGACTTCCCCTACTTCACTGAGGCCCACATGCTAATCTCCTCTGGAAACACCCTCACAGACACAGCCGAAACAGTGCTTTACCAGGTTTCTAGGTATTCCTTAACCCAACCAAGTTGACACCTAACCCTGGCCATCACGCTGCTGTGGGGGACAGTGGGAGAATGGAAGTAGGGGTGACTATCCTGTCTTCATCCATGAATGTGCAGGATCAGATGACTTCTTCCATATCTTCTGACTCAAAACAAACTATGAAACTATAAATTTTTTTGGTTCCTTAGTGTAGAAAGTATATTATCGTATAGCCAGTTTAAAACTGAGGGGGCAAATGGGGCATGGTCATGAAGACCTGTCACTGAGGAGCTAATAATGTTGACTGACAAATGACCAGGTTCAAGTTTGACATTGTTTTCTTTCTCAGGTTTATTTGACCATTTTTCATCATCCAATAATACATGATTGCCATGTGAGTAATATTTTCAAAGTATAGGTAAAGCTAAGCTCTCCCTCCCTCCCTCATACCACTTACTCCTCAGGATGATCACTGGCAGCAGGAAGTGGATGGTCTGTCAGTCTTCACGGTTTGCTGGGCTTTTTGTCCTAACACAGATGGTACTGTACTATGTGAATCATCTTAAAACCTGCCTTTTCCCCTACTTAATCATATGTCTAGATGGGCTTTTTATTAAGTGACTTTAAAATGAAACAAGTCACTGGCCTTCCGAGTGGGGCCCGTTTCCGGGTTCCTTCTGAGTGCCACGCTGTGCTTGCGGTTGCGGTGGTCAGGAATTCCTAAATCTGGGTTCCTGCCTTTTCCCATCTCACAGTCACAGCATGCGCTTTGCAGTGTGTCTGGGCTCCCGCCTGTCTGGTGTGGCCATATGAAGGAAACGGAGTCGTCTTACTGTAATTATTTGAGGTTCTGGGCAGTTTTCTGTGCATCAGATCCAGTAACACAAAACAGAAGAAAACCATTATTCCCCAAACCCAGCTATTTACTCCCTCCCACACAGCTTTTTCTGGGAAAAGGAGACTGCAGTCATCTGGGAGAGGGAGCTGTGCAATCCCCAGCTAGCAGCCTATGAGCTGTGATCTGCACAGAGTGCTCTGGGCAGGACTGCCGACCTAGGCAAAGTGGAACAAAATATGATGCTCGGCTTGGGCTCCTTTGCCAGAGAGTAGCCTGGTGATTAAAACAACACAGATGTGATCAGATTTTTCCCTCAAATCCTGATTCCATAACCACCAGCTCTAGAATCTGAGGTCAGATACTGTTATCTGTACACCTGTCCTTCTCACCTGGAAAATGGGTGTAGCAGTAATTACAACTTTATGGGGTTTTGTGAATCTTAAGAGAGAGAATGCAGGGAAAGTCCTTAACACAGTGCCTAGAATAAATGCATTCCTCAGGAAAGATGCACTGATGAGTGACCTTCCTCCTCCCCTTCCTTCTCTCAGAATTTTTCTTGGTGATTCAACCCCTTGCATCTGCCCAGACAGTCACCCTTTCCCTGTTTCCATGCTTGCAGTAGCTGAAAACCTGTCTGCTCCCCCAAGCCTGGCCCTTCCCTAGTGTTCCCCAGGGATTTACCCTCACTCACCTTTTCCTCAAACCTTGGCAAAGCTTCCTCTCAACCCCTAACCCAACTGAAGTTTGCCTTCACTCCTTCATGCATTCATCATTCATTCCTCCAATACATATGAACGTTAGTGCACGGGATAGGAGATAGGGGAGAAAGAGACACAGTCCCTGCTCCAATGAAGCCCAGCCTATTTATAGGGAGTCAGGGATCAGTAAAATGGCTACTATAATGCAGGGTGACAAATAAATGCACTGGCAAGAAGGATGTCCTAGATGCTACCAGGAGGGCATGCACACCAGCCTTGGGGGGTTGCTTCTCTACTTTCTGGGAAATTTTTCCAACTCTGTCTTCCAAACCTCCTATTAAACTTTTTAGGTCATCAATTACATTTTTTATTTCAAGTATCCTTTCTTGTTCTTTGATTATTCTTTTTTCATAGTGGTTCTTAAAAGATGTGTGGGAATCAGAAATGTACATTTAAACCAGGACAGATTCTAACAACCTGAACAGGAAACTTAGTTATGAATATCCTAACCAGCCTTTCAGGGTCAGGTTCTTGGTAAGATCCAAGATACAACTGGCCAAGCTAATAAATGGAGTCATTCATTCCTCACTGGTTGCATCAATATTGTCTGTTATGTTCTAGGTTATGGTTTGGAGTGATGAGGGGTATGGTCTGTGCTTTCAAGGACTCACAGACAAGTGGAAGAGAGCAGCACATGAACCAGCAATGGCGATACCAAAGGGAAAACTCCACAGACATTGGTCTATGGATTGCTCAGGAAATGGTTGAGGAGAACGCTGGGAAGGAGGGAGGGCACCACAGAGGTGATGTTATTGCTGAGTCTTAAAGGATAAAGGCAAATTCAGCAGGCAGAGAAGGAGCAGAGGAAATGGCAGAGGAGGAGCAACATTCCTGGCAGAGAGAAGGGCGTGCATTCAATCAGAGAGAGATTAAAGAGCTTATAGCATTTTTGAGATGGGATGAGAAGTTCTGTGGCTGGAATTTAATGTTCACTAAGTAGGGGGAGATGGGGGAGAGCTGACTGGCAGGAGATGCGGCTCAAGAGAGGTTGGTTAGTCTGGATTGTGTAGGACCTCACCTGTCATGTTAAGGATTAGGGTTTTGTGTTTGTGGTTCTTAAACCCTTAACATGCACCCTTTTGAAAATGTGATGCAAATTATGGATCTTCTTATCTAAAAATATGCACATACACACAAAGTTTCAGGGCTTGAAGAATCTGAAACCCATTCCTCTACTCTGCTCAGTCATCAGAGAAGCCCCTGAAAGTTTTTAAGCAGGAATGTCATATTCAGATATAGTATTGAGCTCTTCCACATCCAGCTGTATGTGACTATAGAGTCATCCCTGGTGCGAGGGTCACATGCCTGCAGTCCACCTCTAGTTTCACCTGTGGTTGTGGTGGGCAGTTCTGTACAAACGCTCACTCATCCTTCAGCTGGCAGTCGCACCTCTCTTGACTTAGACACAGGCTCAGTCCTGGGGCAGCCCTTGACCTATGGAC